ACTTACGTCTTCACTCTGTTGCCATAGCACCAACTTTGGAATCATATCATCAGGTTCTATCAGAGTTCTGAATGGAAAGTCATTTCCGTACGTCAGAAAATGTATTAGATCGCAATATTATTAAGAAATAACACGCGCCTGTACATTCCGGCAGAGAACGTGTCTTCACACAGCTGTTCGTACGTCTTACTTCTTCAAACGACTTTATTCACCAGAAGGTTCATCATTGCCATCATAAAGGCACAGCATTGGACGGTATCAAAATCCCTTAGCTACACTGTCTCTGAAACCACTGTTCCATCACACCTGAGTTGACTTTTATCACAAGATTTTTACAATGAATATAGTAATTTCTGTATTACCACGAACATTATGTCGAAAATATTTCACCTTTCATGATTTAACAATTCAAACAGTTAATTAAAAAAGTTGTCAGTGGAACCACGGTTCCGGAGAATTTGACGTAAATACGTCTATACGGAAAGGAAGTTTATATATTGGCTTTATTCTAAATATTTACTTTATACATGCTTTACAATTGAGTAAAGTTTGATTAAGACTTTGCTTATTTAACTTGAATTAGTTACTCTTAAGATGGGTCTGTGGTAGATGAATGTAATGTAAAGTAATGTAATGTAACGTTTCCTAGGTAACAACAATTCCGAGTAAACACGACGTTCCCTAGGTACACTTGTTACACTTTTTCGTTTCCCTTTTTCATTTTCCTTTTTCGTTACACTTTTTTTCCGAATGACCCTTCCTTATAGACGTATTTACGTCAAAAAAAAGTTACATTGCACAGGTATAAGGTTCATGGTCGATTGAGCGTAATGAAATATTTAATATTACAGAGTCTATGCCACAGGCTTGGTTCATAACCAGGGCATCCTGCTTCCGTTGATGGCGAACCGCTGGAAGGTAGTTTTGCTACTCAGAATTACGTGAAGTTGGTCAGTGCCACGTACTCAACGCTAGTTAGTTATATTAAGCTACGTGGAACAGCCTATCGCGAGAACGGTGAAGGACATTCTGCATAATTCCCACAGTTCACTATCGCAGTCAGCGCATTAAACTAGAGTTAATACTCGTTGCGGGCTGTCTTTGTTCCCTCTAGCAAGATTTAATCTCCTCTAAGTGATACCCAACCTCGATTACTCTGCGTTCACCACAGTAATGATAATAAACTTCTCGACGTGCAAATGTGATTCTAGTCCATATTACTCTATGGAATTTGGTTATGAGCAAACGCGTTCACCTGCAACCTGGAATCAGGCTGAACGTGATATTAAAATGGAGATAATAAGCTACGCATGCGCACAAGATCCCTTCAGCTCAGGCGTTGGTCCGCGCAGCGATCAGACTCTACCTAGCCAAGCGGAAGTATAACTGCGCGTAAGAAAAGTAGCTCCGGTTTTAAATGCACGAAATTTGTGCTAAATGGAATTAAAACGGATAAAGTTACCAACACTTCAAGGATTAAATTACCTGATAACGATAATTAAGACAAAATACGCCAAAATGCAGAACTATAGTGATGTAATTTCAAGAATGGGGCGGAGTTTTCAGTCTCCATCGGTAACTCTGTGGCATGGGTATTTGGCGGTAATAAGTCCATGGCAGCCCGGAGAGCGGAAACTGTGTTTATAAAATCGTACAGCATTTTCACACTGCTACTCATGCATCTGTGTTGAAAGATGCGTTTAAACGCTTTTTAT